TTGTATACAGTATCTTACTCAATCCTGTCAACAGCCCAGAGGCAGGTATCATTGCCCTTCTCATGTTGTACATGGAGGTTAATGTGATTTGTACACTGCTGGGCAATGCTGAGTTTGGCTTTTACTCCAGGATGTCTGACTCCACAGGTTTTGAGCTTACTACATCCTACCCTTCTTCCCACCAAAACAACAACAACCACCACAACAAAAACAGAGCACAAAATAAAAACATACCAGGTCCCATGCATATACTCAATTGCTTACAGGATAGATCTGCTTGGTTATTCTACAAACATTTCACCAACTATTTATTGAGCATTTACTGTATGCCAGGCACTGCTGTAGGCACAACCAAATCCACTGAAATCCAAATAAACAGTATATTTAGTTGAGGGGACAAACAGTAAAATAAATAGTATCGGTTCATGATAAACACTATAAATAAAAATAAAGCAGGGTACATGAGTAGAAAGAGACAGGAGGGCTATGTGGCAGGTGGAATAATGGCCTCAATAAAATGTCCACCTTGTAGTCATGGGGAGCTACAAACAAGTTGCATTACACAGCAAAGGGGATTTTGCAGATTAAGCATAAGGGAAATTATCCAGGACAATGTGAATGAGCCCAATATAATCACATGGGCTCTTAAAGGCAAAAGGTCAGAGACACGTGACAATGATCACAGAAGAAGAGGCAAGAGAGATTTAAAGTGTGAGCGGGACTCAACTGTCATGGCTGGCACTGAAGATGGAAGAAGGGACCATGAGTCAAGGAATGCAACATCTCACAGAAGCTAGGAATGGCCCTCAGCAAGATGTTGAGGACATCAGTCCCACAACCACAAGGAACTGAATTCTGCCAACAACATGAATGAACAGGACACAGATTTCCCCCCCCACCCCAGTCTCCAGAAAGGACCACATCCTTGATGTTGGCTTGGTACAACCCATACCAGGCTTTTCACCTACAGAACAATAAGCTGAACAATTTCTGTTGCTTTAAGCCACTACATTCTGCGCATTCATTCCAGCAGCAAACAGAAATCTAACACAGGCTACTTTAAGTAGGGTATCCAGGAAACACCACTCTAACAAAGCCTTGAGAGACAGGAAAGAAGGAAGAGCTTCCCAGACCAAAAGGAATGATCTTGAAGTGAGAAGAACTTGGAGTGCAAGGAATAGCAAGGAGGTCAATATGGCTTGAGTGACGAAACTCAGCTGGAGGAGCTAAGATGGCCAGAGAGGGCAGGCCACCACATGTGGAGGTATGAAGGTCACACAGCTTTGAATTTTATTCCAAGCATGATGGGAAGACACTTTGGTACAGGAGGGTCATGACCTGATGTCCACTTTTAAGTTCCCCTGTAGGTAATGTAATGAGAGAGAACTGGAGTGGGCAAGGGTAGCAGGAACTGAGTCCAGGTTGGAGACTCTTGATTGTTACCCAACAATCCAAACAAAAGAAGACAGCCTGGACTAGGGTGGACGAGGTGAAGTAATTGGTCACGTATAGGATATACATATTTGAAAGTTCAAGTTCATTGCATTTTCTGATGACTTGGAGGTGGGAAAGAAAAGCCAGGATGAGTAGCATGGCACATGGTGGTGTCAACCAGTGAGATAGAGAAAGGTGTAGTAGAAGGTTGGGGGACCAAGAGCTTGGTTTAGACACAAGTTATAGATTCCGATCAGCTCCAAGGCAAGACATAGGCTTTTAGGTATGAGAGCCTGAGTTCAAGGACAGTGTAGAATGCAGGTATGTGGTGGGCAGAATAATTATTTACCAAAGGTGTCAACATCCTGGTCCCCAGAATCTGCACACTATGTTACTTAGTACAAGGAATTAAGGTCACAAATGCAATTTAAGTTGCAAAACAGCTGACCTTAAAATAAAGAGATACTTGGTTATCTAGGTAGCCCAATGTAATCCAAAGGACCTTAAAATGGGGACAAGAGAGGCAGAGGACTCACAACTAGAGGCAAGATATTGTGAAGAAACTTGACTAGCCAGTTCTGTCTTTGGAAATGATGGGTGCTGGTTTTGAAGTTGGTGGAAGGAGTCACGAACCATGAAATTAGGGTAACCCCTAGAAACTGGAAAAGGCAAGGAGACAGACTCCTCCTGACAGCCTCCAGAAAGGAAATACAACCCTGCCAACACCTTGAATTAGTGAGCTTAGTGAGACCCGTTTCAAACTTCTGAGCTACAAAACTATAAGACAATAAATTTGTGCTATCTTTCTTTTTATTTATTTATTTATTTATTTTTTGAGTTGGAGTCCCACTCTGTTGCCCAGACTGGAGTGCAGTGGCCGCTACCGGCCACCGCAGCCTCGACCTGCTGGGCTCTGGCTATCCTTCCGCCTCAGCCTTCCAAGTAGCCGGAATTACAGGCGTGCGCTACCATGCCCGGCTGATTTTTTTATTTATTGTAGAGATGAGGTCTTGCTGCCCAAGAGGGTCTCGAACCCATGGGCTCGGGCAATCCACTCACCTCAGCCTCCCAAAGGCACAGGATTACAGGCTGAGTCATCAAGCCAGGCTAAATTTGTGCTATCTTAAGTCACCGGGTTTGTGGTAATTTTTTAGAGCTGCAATAGGAAATTAATACAAGGCATAATTTCTCTGACATTTGTTTTTTCTTCGTTGCATCCTATGAAGTAAATGACATGAACTTCATTCGTTTGTTCATGGTAGAAATACAAGGGGAGACCTTCAAAAAACCAAAATTATTTTTTGGAGGATGGTCCTCTTGTAGTACAGGTTTCCCCAGCTAGGTAAGTATTCTAGGAACCCATCAGCATTAGTGTGCCAGCTAGCATTGTTGTGAGAGGCTTCAGTGTTTTTGTTTTGCTTTGTTTTAGACTCTTTCAATCCATTTGCCCATTTCATGATGGGTGATTTACAAGAGCACCTGCACACACAGTGCTGAGGGTTCAGCAGTTTTTGACCAAAAACATCGTGAGTCCTATGCCCCACCCTCCCTCTTCACCTGATCTATACCTGAGCGACTTTATTTTGTTTCCCAGATGAAAAACATCTTCAAAGGGAAACGTTTTGCAGATGTGAAGAGGTGAAACAAAAAACAGCAGAACCACTAAAAGGCATCAACATTGGTAAGTTCAAAAACTGGAGCAGTGAAGAAAGAATCTTGATAGGTGTATCGCATTAAATGCAGAGTATAGAAGGTGATTAAAATTTAAACATGTAAGAATAAATACAGTTTTTAAAAAATAAATTCTGGGTTTTTTTCTTTTGGTGGGTGTCATATGTGCCATCCTTGATTTCTTCTCCTCCATGCTCCCGATACAGACAACCAAGTTTTCCAGGTTCTACTTCCTAAATTTTTTTTCAGAGTTACCCACTGTCCCATCTCCAACACAGGTCATGATCCTCACTCTCATCCCACTTTGAGTGAGGAGAGAGAACAATACACACCCACCACCCATTCTCCTTTTAGCAGATAGCATAAATCTTCTAAGATCAATATTCCTGGTCATTCCTCTCTCCTTGACTCTCTTCATTAGATTGCTGTTTCACTAGGAATGAAGTCCCAACTGTTTGCCATGGTTTTGAAGGTCCTGCAAAGTTGGCTTTCTTCAGCCTTACTTCCTAACACTTGTCCTCAAGCTAAACTTCTTTCCCATCCTGGAAGACACTAGAAGGCCCCCTCACTTGAGGTGTTGACACTGGCCTCCTTGTCCCCCCATAGAGAAGACCTGCTGTTCAGCACTCCCTCCCATCCACCTCTAGGGCCTGATGGCTCCCTTTTGGTTGTTCCCCAACTTCTAAATCATTATCACTTGATCCAAAACTTGAACTTTTGCTTTAAGACACTCAGTATGTAGTTTATGTTTTGTGTATCTTCCTGAGAGCAGAGCTTTCCCTGGTTTGCTCACTACTCTTTCTCCATTCCTAGCTCCTAGCTAAATATTTGTCAATAATTTGTAAATAAATTACACTCAGTAAATATTTGCCAAATGGTCAATGTTCACTAAACAACTGCAAATTACAATGTTTAAAATCTCTAGGATGGTTCCTATGCTATTTTTAGAAATCATTTTCTGGAAAGTCTGTACTAATAGAGTGTTCTGATATTTTTTTAAATGGGCCAATTTTACATTCTTGATCTCCCCATCTTTGAAAATGGGCAATAAGAGGTAGGTGACAGATTTTTTTTTTCTTGCATTTATCATGTCGCTCAACAATAGTTCAAGTATTTATTGATTCAGTACGGATCACTAAGTGCTGAGAATACAGGAAATGAACAAAATAGTCTGTTCTTATGAAGTTTGCATTTGTGTGTGTGTGTCTGTGTGTGTAGACAGGGTGAGGAGAAGTCAGGAAGTAAACAAAAAATTATATAAACATCAGTAATAAGCGGTAATGAGTGCCAGAGTCAGAGTGTGTATGCATGTACTGGTATGTGGCATGTACACGTGTAGATGTGTATGTATGCACGTGTATGAGCGTGTATATATGTGTGTGCGTGTGTGTGGTGTTAATCTTCACTTCGAGAGATGGAAGCTGCTGGAATAACAGGACACGTGGGCAGGGCCAGGAGCCAGTCCAGCCCACGCACACTCCCAGAGAGGCCGCTTTCTGGAAACCTGTTTCCTAAGTTCGAGTCGTTGACTGCAGTCTCCACGCTGAGTGCCACTGACCCAGCATTTCCGTCCCCTGAGCCCATTTCCGCGCTGCAGACGCACTATAGACCGACAGCACCTTCACAATTCGTGAGCCTGTTAAGAGAAAAGCTCAGTACCCACTGGGAACCCAGCACCGAAACGCTGCTCTTCGGGGAGGCCTGCCCAACCCCCCACGCTACCGCCCCCTGGCTGGAGTGCGACTGCTGATTGGCTCTTCAGCTAGTCCATCTCTTCCCGCCCCGCCTTGGAGGCCGGGTCCGTCCTCGCCCGGTTTTGCACCAGAAGGGTTCCCAGGGCTCCGCTGAGTGGGCGGGGCCCGAGACGTCGACTGACGTGTTACGTCACGGGGGCGGAAGTTCGGCCGCTGTTTTGAAATCTGGCCGCTGGGGTTCTACTGCTGCCGCCTGCGCCGAGGCCTGCAGCCGCCCAGTTGCCGTCGAACCCCGGACCCTGTCTCCCACCCTGCGGATCGAGGCCGCGCCATGTCTACGCCCCCTTTGGCGGCCGGGATGGCGCCCGGGCCGTTCGCCGGGCCGCAGGCACAGCAGGCCGCGCGGGAGGTGAACACTGCGTCGCTGTGCCGCATCGGGCAGGAGACGGTGCAGGACATCGTGTACCGCACCATGGAGATCTTCCAGCTGCTCAGGAATATGCAGGTGCCAGGGGAGCCTTGGGGGTCGGTGGAGGCCGAGGGGGACAAAGGGGTGAGGGTGGTCGAAGGGGAGAGGGTCCTGGGCCGACACTTAACATGTTTCCACCAGGACATTTCTGTACCCAAGAGTCTGAGACGTTGAGGGGATGTCTCTATACAGCGTTTCTGGAGGATGAAGCCGCATCTTCTAGATTCCACCGAGCTCTTTAGTGACCGTGTAGACTCTTGTGCCTGTGATTCGGCCTCCACTCCCCTCTTTAGTCTCTTCTCTTTTTTTTGAGTCAGAGTCTCACTCTGTCCCCCAGGCTGGAGTGCAGAGGCACGCTCACCGCCACCGCAGCCTCGACCTACTGGGCTCAGGTGATCCTTCCGCCTCAGCCTTCCAAGTAGGTTGGAACCACAGGCATGTGACACCTTGCCCGGCTTTTTTTTTTTTTTTTTTTTAATTGTAGAGACGAGGTCTCGTCATGTTGCTCAGGCTGGTCTCGAACCCCTGAGCTCAGGCAATTCTTTCGCCTTTGCCTCCCAAAATGCTGGGATTACAGGCTTGAGCCTCCGCACCCGGCCCAACTCCGCTCTTTAGATTGCTTTAGATTTTTTTTTTTTTCCAGCAAAATTCCTTTTGGAGGGTCCAAGGAGTTGGAGAAGTTACATTCTGGTAATAATTTGAAGAAAAGTTTTCCCTCCTTTTTTTTGTTTTAGTACAGTAAACTCCACTCATCTGAAGTTTGACACACACGTATATGTATCTATACATATGCTGTTTGTACTTGTGAAATCATCACCACAATCAAGAGTGAACACTCATCACCCTTAAAAGTTTCTTCATGCCTCTGTGAAGTTTTTATCCCCCTCCCCAACTTCCATCCCTAAGCAACCACTAATGTGCTTGCTGTCTGTCATCATAAATTACTTTGCTAGAGTTTAGATAAATGGAGTCATACAGTCTGCGGTTTTTGTGTGTCTGGGCTCTTTCCATGCATTAATGATTCCTTTGCATTGCCCAGTGGTGTTGCAGTGTGTAAATATATCACAGTCTGTGTCTGTTCATCTGCTGATGGGCATTTAGGTTGTTTCCACTTATGGGCCATTATGTATAATGCTGCTAAGAACGTTTGTTTGCAGATTTTTGTGCGAACATGTTTCATTTCTCTTGGACCAACAGGTGTTCGGGAGTGGAATTGCAGGATCATGTGGTATACGTCTGTTTAACACTTTAAGAAGCTTCCAAAGTGGCTGAGCCACTTTACATTTCCTTCAGCAATGTTTGAAGTTCTAGTTTCTCCTCTTCCTCTCCATCACTTTGTTATGTCTTTATCTTAAAAATACTTTTCCCAGACTGTGGCTTTTCTTTTCACTCTCTTCATAGTCTCTTTTGATGAAAAAACATTTTATTTTAATGGAATCCAACTTACTGATTTATTCTTCTACAGATTTTGCTTTTGATGTCATATTAAAGAAATCTTTGCCTGTGCAAGATAGTGAAGATTTTGTCTGACGTTTTCTTCTAGAAGTGTTAGTTTTAAGTTATACTTTTAAGTCTATAACCCATATTAGCTTTTTTCATATAGTGATGGGTATGAATCCAAGTTCATTGTTTCAGATGTCCAGTTGTTTCTGCTAACTCATTTTTATTGCCTATCTTACCCACTACATGTCATAGATGTCATTCTTGTTTTACAGATGAGGATTCTATAGTTGAGAGGGTAAAGTGACTTGGCCAGACCTAGTCAGTAGTAGGTTAAATTTGAAACCAGATGTTCAAACTCTTGCAACTCTTGTTTCTATAGGTGCCCTGTAGGGTGTATTACTACCTTTTTTAAAGTGGTTGAGATTTTTTTCCTCCTAAGTGTAAGAGCAATTTAGTTTCATGGAAATCTTTTAGACTTTATCAATAAGCCAGTGTGATATATATACAAAGGAAATCCAGGAGGAGATAGAAAATTATTTGGCAATTATTTTTTAAAATGAATAGATTTATATCTAAAATGATTAAGGTGTAGATTAAAAATGTCTCAGAATTTAGCATGTGTCTTTGTTTTTAATCTGCTGTATGCAAAGCACTGAATTAGGTCTAGTAGAGGTAATAGTAAGATTTACCAAGTACTTTCCTTGGTCAGGTATACTGCTGTAGAAGGTTTTTTTTTTTTTTTTTTTT